AATATATAAATAACTCTTACAACTTGATATAAGAAGACTGCCTGGTTAAAAAAATACTCCAAATATTTGAGTAGACACTTCACTAAAGAAGATATAAAAACAGCTAACAAGCGAATGAAAAGACGCTCAATAGCACTAGCCATTAGGGAAGTGAAAACTGAAACCACAATAAACCACATCACTCCAACTATTTTTTTTTTTTTTTTTTGGTGGTTGGTGGGGTGGGAATAAGAAAATAACTTTATTTCATTGTGGCGAGTGGGCAGATGTCCAGCCTCCTGAAACTGCTTCTTGGTGCCCACCGCCTTGGTGACCTTGAGCACATTGAAGCATACAGTCTTGCTCAGGGGCGGCATTCGCCTACTGTGATGATGTCACTGATCTGGACGTCCCTGAAGCAGGGGGACAGGTGTACAGACATGTTCTTGTGGCACTTCTCGAAGTGGTTGTACTTGTGGATGTAGTGGAGGTAGTCTCCGCAAATGACAATGGTCCTCTGCATCTTCATCTTGGTCACCACGCCAGAGAGGATCCACCCTCGAATGGAGACATTACCAGTGAAGGGGCATTTCCTGTAAATCTAGGTGTCCTCAGTAGCCTCTTCGGGTGTCATGAAGCCCAGACTGATGTTCTTGCAGTATCGTGGGAGCTTCTCCTTGCCAGTTTCTCCCAGCAGGACCGTCTTCTTGTTTTGAAAGATGGTCGACTGCTTTTGGTAGGCACCCTCGTTCTGAATGTCCTGAACATCTTCCCGGCCACCTGAAAAAAGGAAAGCCCACTCCCACTATTTTAAATTATTATAATTGTTATGTTTTTAGAGACGAGGTTTCACTATATTGCCCTGGCTTGTCTCAAGCTTCTAGGCTCAAGCCATCCTCCAGCCCTGGCCTTCCAAAGTGCTGAGATTATAGACATGAGTCACCGTGCCTAGCAACCCCTACTGTTATGAGTGAAATCAGAAAGATAGACAACAAGTATCAGTGAGGATATCAGGAAACTGGAAGGCTTACATATTGCTTATACTTTGGAAAACAGTTTGGCAATATCTTAAAAAGTTAAGCATAAACTTACCATACAACTCAGCAATTCCATTTCTAGGGATCTATTCAAGAAAAATAAAAAATGAATATCCGCACAAAGACTTGTACACAAATGTTCCCAGTAGTCTTATTCATAATAGCTCCAAATTGAAAACAACCTAAATGTCCTTCAACTGGTGAATGGATAAACAAAATGTAGTACATTTGTTCAAATGGAGCTCTATTTAGCAAAAAAAGGAAAGAACTACTGATTGGTACAATGTAGATGAACCTCAAAAACATTATTCTGAGTGAAAGAAGCCAGATGCAAAAGACTACTTATTGTATGAGACCATTTACATGAAATTGTCAGAAAGCAGATAGCCAATTGCCTAGGATTGGGAGTGGGAAGGAGGGTTGACTGCAATGGGCATAATGAATTTTTGGGGGGCGATGGAAATGTTTAAAAGCAGATTGTGGTGATGATTGCACAATTCTAGTCACTGCTTATTGTAGACATTTAGGAACTGAAATTGACAGACAGTCTATCTCAACACAAGCTTCCATGATTACCACAGCATGGGGGAGGGAGATGTGCCTCTGCTTCCTTTTTTTGAGACGGAGTTTAGCTCTTGTTACCCAGACTGGAGTTCAATGGCACGATCTCAGCTCATTGCAACATCTGCCTCCTGGGTTCAAGCAATTCTCCTGCCTCAGCCTCCCGAGTAGTTGGGACTACAGGTTTACGCCACCATGCCCAGCTAATTTTTGTATTTTTAGTAGAGACGGGGTTTCACCATGTTGACCAGGATGGTCTTGATCTCTTTACCTAGTGATCCACCAACCTCGGCCTCCCAAAGTGCTGGGATTACAGGCGTGAGCCACCATGCCCGGCCATGCCTCTGCTTCTTAAAGATTCTCCTGAGAAGTGATACATGTCACCCGTTTTATTGGTCAAAGCAATTAACTTCAGGAGTGCAATTCTTTTCTTTTCTCTTTTTTTTTTCCTTGAGACAGAGTCTCCCTCTGTTGCCTAGGCTGGAGTACAGTGGTGTGATCTTGGCTCACTGCAACCTCTGCCTCTCAAGCAATTCTCTGCCTCAGTCTCCTGAGTAGCTGGGATTGCAGACGTAGAGTACCACGCCTGGCTAATTTTTGTATTTTTAGTAGAGATGGAGTTTTGCCATGTTGGTCAGGCTACTCTGGAATTCCTGGCCTCAGATAACCTGCCAGCCTTGGCCTCCCAAAATGCTGGGATTATAGGTGCGGCCACAGCGCCTGGCCAGAGAGTGCAATGTTACTATGTGTCTGGAAGAGAGGGAAACCAGAATACTTGTGAACAACCCTAAGGATGATCACAGAAATATATACAACAATAAAGGGTACAGTTTACTCTGACCAGAGTTCACTTTGCTTTATACTTCTGAAGGACCACAGTTACAGCTTTTTTTTTTTTTTTTTGAGGCAGTCTCGCTGTCACCCAGGCTGGAGTGCTGCAGCAGCCTAGATTTCCTGGGCTCAAGTGATCCTACCACCTCAGCCTCCTGAGTAGCTGGGACTACAGGGAGGTGCCCAGTTAATTTTTAAATATTTTGTAGAGGCAGGGTCTTACTATGTTACCCAGACTGCAGACTGGTCTTGAACTCCCCAGCTCAAGTGATCCTCCTAACTTGGCCTTCTAAAGTACTGGGATTACAGGTGTGAGCTGCTGGTGCCTGGCCAACAGGTATTCTTCATGTTTTACTGTGACTCCCTGAGTGTCCTTAAATCACTGAACACTTGGTTTTCTTAAATATTTGCTTACACCTTTGCACTCACACATTTGCATAGAAAAATAAACTTTTTTTTTTGATAGGGGCGTAATTGACTTCTCTAATGTATAAGGATTAGAATACTTTTGTGTAGCCAGAGCCTAAAAGAACAGTAAATGGCAATTACAGGAAGGCAAATTATACATCTACATAAGGAAACATTTTCAAATTATTAGAGTTTCTGAGGTGGAAATGAATGCCTTTGAAGTATTGAATCACTGAAGATTTTGAAGTTGAGGCGTGGTGTCCACTTCACAGAAATGTTGAGGAAAACTTAGATGAAATGTTCTCCAAAACAGGTGTTCTATAATTAGGCTTAGCTGCACGGCAAATATATCTGTTTGTGTAATATCTTTATCAATTTTTGGACTACATCTACATTTTAATATTTTATTTATTTACCTTAATGCCACATTCCTGAATGGGAATGCATCTACTTTTTTTTTTTTTTTGATATTAATGAAAATGTTTATTTGATACTGTATAATGAAATGTGTCAACATCAGGAAGATCTGCATAACTCAGGGAATCAATGTTTTCCAAATGACCAATGCATCATGCCAATACATGAGAGACCAATGGATTTCAATGCAATGAAGGACGAAAAGTCATTGATAATGGTTTCAGAATCTACCAACATTTAGGAGATCATCCTCGAAGAAACTATCACTTGTTGAGTGTTGATGTCAAATCCTCTGCGCTTTCACTGGGAGCTGCAATCCTGAGTTGTTCCTAAACGGCCATCTTGGATCGTCCCCCGCATCTACTTTTTTTAAGTCAAAATTTTCGTCAGCCAATGTATGAAGGTCATTTAAGCTAATTTTTTTTTGAAACGAAGTTTTGCTCTTGTTGCCCAGGCTGGAGTGCAATGGTGCCATCTCGGCTCACTGCAACCTCTGCTTCCTGGGTTCAAGCAAATCTCCTGCTTCAGCCTCCTGAGTAGCTGGGACTACAGGCATGCACCACCAGGCCCGGCTAATTTTGTATTTTTAGTCGAGAGGGGGTTTCTCCATGTTGATCTGGCTGGTCTCAAACTCCCAACCTCAGGTGATCCGCCCGCCTCGGCCTCCCAAAGTGCTGGGATTACAGGTGTGAGCCACCATGCCCGGCCACTTAAGGCAAATTTATGAGAGATGATGGTCAGAATTGAAATAAGGTGAAACCTGGAAGGTAGTAGGTAAGTAGGTACAGTGAGGGTGCAGTAAGAAAACAGACTTAAAAGATTAGAACTATTATTCAGGAGAAGCAGAGAAGTGGAAGGGTATGACCACAATATTTAAAGTATTGAGTGGTACTGGATAAAATGGATATACTTATTTGCCGTATTCTGAGATCATAGGTTGTGGGAACCCATTTTGAAATATGAGCCAAGTGAGCTTAGACCACAAGAGGTACTTTTTCAGAGGCAGAAAAAATACGGTCTTCACTATCCCTGTGACATAAGATGGGACAAAAACATGAAATGGTTTTAAAAATATTTTGACGAAATTATAAATAAAGGTTCTACACGTGGCTACTAAGAGGAGCTGGGTTCTATCTAAGGGTAAGTTAAAGAGACAAGCATACAATCTCACAGCTTGTCAGTTGGGACCAAGTCGGTAGCAGAATCTGGGCAGGATAAGGGTCTGCACTAATAAGAAACAATTCTGTATTCTTAAACCATTTTGCAGGGGACTATTCTCAGATTTCATTACAACTAGGAAGGACTGCAAAGCGGGTAAACAGAAAACAACCTTTCATCGTTGGGAAACAAATCATCTGAGAGTCTTTCATAAAAGCAGCTCCTGATAAGGAATTTGGGACTGGACAGTGAATCGCTGAATAAAATTTAATTCCGACATCCTGGGTCTTCTCCCCGCTGAAAGAAATTCTAATAGCGGGCCTTAGGGTGAAGGTAGAGGAAACGTGCTTTAAAAGAAATCGGCACAGCAAGATGCACGGAGCACAGTCACGATCATGCACATTGAAGGTCGCACACGACCCTGTCCTGCATAACAGAGCCAGCCGGCGATCAGGAGTGCAGTTGCTCACTATTGTGTTAGCCCCGGCGGCGGAAGGACTGAGTCTCACTGCAACGTTAAAGAGTCCTTCTTTGTTCAGCCCCTGCCAGGGACGCAGGGCGCGGTGTTCATCCGCGCTCGCTGCGCAGTCCCCGTCCCCCCCCCTCGGCTTTGGAGAGCTGCCATTCGGCACCGGAGTCGCTTCGCGCTCCCAGAATGCACCGGCAGTCCGCGGGAAACCAAAATGGCGAGGGGCTGTAGGGAAGTGGGCTGTGTTTGAGGCCAGTGTAACAACGTTCATTCTACCCCCAACCCTTGTCCCCAAGGACCTCGGTTTGTGCGTGCATATGTGCCGGCTACCTGGTGGGGCGGGTGCCCAGTAAGTGCTCGGACTCGCAGGGGAAGCGCCCACGGGGACGGATTGGTTGTTTTTTCCTGTATGAAGCGGTTGGCACCACTGAAGTGACCGAATGAGGTGAGAGACCTTGGCCTGGGAATAGACTCTTCCGGAGGCGATGGGGGTGGGGGGAAGGAGGAAGAAAGGAAGCAAGTCTAAAAGGGAAAGATGGAGGACCAAGGTGGGGGTGGGGGCTCTTGTATGTGGGTGCCTTTGCATTTGTGTGTATGTTGAAAAGAATGGATGTAAAGGAGTAGTCAGTTGAGTGTTGGAGAAAATAGGGACTAAAGGAGCGAGTGGGTCGTTGGAGGAGTCTGTTGGAGGAACAAGATAAAACGTTGAGACGGGGGAAGCTGCGTTTGGAGGGCAGGAAGGAACCTGGGGGCGGGAGACGGTTGGAGGGGCTGGGTGAACCTGGTGACGAGGGGGTGGGGAGCCGAGAGGAGGACCCGTTGGAAAACGGGGGCTGAAGGAAATGTGGGGAGCAGAGTGGAGGGCTGCCTGGGACCTTAGCGGGGCGCAATGGGAAGTAGCAGTTTGGAATCGGAGGGTGGTGGAATTGTATGGAATTGGAGGGTCGAGTGTAAAAGTGCTGGTAAGGATACGGGAAACACTGAAGTGGAGCTTGGAAGCACACGCCGAAAGCTTCAAAGGGAAGAGGTGGGAGGGAAAGTGAGATGGGGGAGAGCTAGATACCTTATGTTTGGAGCGTACCAAAAATCTGAGGCGTTTCTTCTGTTTAATGAAACCTAACTCATAGAATCTACTTCTTGGGTGTAGATATGTATTGCATTCATTTTACCACCGAGGTAATTATGGTTTAAGGAATTTTAACTAATTTGCCAGGATTTCTTAACAACATATTTCGGTAGTGCCAGAACTCTGACTCTGACTCTGTGTTTTACAATCTGGTGTCTTTGGTTGCTAGAATTTTTCTTTGGAAGCAATTAGAGGGAAGAGATGGATTTATCGGGGTGCTCTGACGAACAGAAAGGGTTTGTGAACAATGGGAAAAGGCTTATGTAATGTTACTCTATTCCTTAAAATATTTAACTTTGATTAAAGATAGAAACCATCTAACACTAACTTAAAATGTGAAAACCTAGCTAGGCCTGTGTGTAATACATAGGAAAGCACCATGTGAGGTCAGTACAGAGCTAGAAATATGTAAATAGTACCTATTTAATTTGACTCCAGAGCCTCCGGTGGTAATAACAGTAACTTTCTCCTTCAGATAGATTCCATGTGACCCTCCTGTATACCTAGCCTACAGGCTGGTTTCAATTTCCATGGTTTCATTCTCTCTTGGGAATTACTGTTTTTTTTGGGGCACTAAATTTCAAAGATAGTTGAATGTAGAAGTAGTTAATGTGGATGCAAAGTAATTAAATTCATAATTACCTTTTTAAAAGGTTTGAAAATGCTTTAAAGGGACCTGTTTTGACTGATGGCTATAGGTGCCCGATAGTTTAGGCAAGAAAATAGTTGATTTAAAATTTCTTACCATAAAGTATTTTATTTTCTATTTGGAATATTATTTACACTGCAGCTATTGGCAGTTATAGCTTGAGAGGGAATACAAAATGACTCTGTTGTTTTTTCAGATTCCTAAATATAAAAATGTATTTGAATTCACATTTGAAAATTAGTTCACCTGCGTTTTTTAAAGTGCTAAAAATGTTCGAAATATTTGAATTAAGAACGCACCTGTTTCCTGATACTACATTTATAATGTTAATGGGTATTAACGGAAATTTCTAACTATCAGGATGAAATGCACACACAGTTTTAGTGCTAGTTGTACAGAAATCATCTGGTTAAGCCTTTTTTCCAGTTATCCCCGTTGCCTCAAATCTCTGTTAGGAAAGAAATTTTATTCTGTGTATTTTACTGTAGGTCATAAACTCTTTGATTTCATGGATTATAAATATACCTTTTCATGAGATCTTTGAAGGATAATTTGCTTTAATCATTATTCAGCATAATCTTTACATCTGACTTGAGGAAACTGGCGGTATAGTATTGACCTATGGTTTAACAGAGGAATTTGCCTCCAAGGAGTTGCCATGACTAATACCTGTAGCTTGATAGTTCTGAAAGTAAAACTTAACAGCTGTTTTAGTCTACACTTCTATGAATTACCTTTGATGGCTAATATTTTTGTACTTTGTTTTCCGTGTTCTTCAGGAAAATTTGTTTATCGCTGTGAAATCCAGTACTGTATAACAGTCCTAAATTGGAATGTAAAAGTTTCCCTGTGGATATTTCTTTTTTTTTCTTTTTTCTTATTTTTGAGACAGAGTCCTCCTCTGTCACCAGGTTGAAGTGCTATAAAATTGAATTCTATAAAGAATTCAAGTGATTGCCTCAGCCTCCTGAGTTGCTGGGACTACAGGCCCACGCCACCACACCCAGCTAATGTTTGTGTTTTTAGTAGAGAGGCCTTTTAATTATGTTGGCCAGGATGGTGTTGATCTCTTGATCCACCCACCTCAGCTTCCCAAAGTGCAGGGATTACAGGCGTGAGCCACTGTGCCTGGCCAGATATTTTTTATATGTTAGAGTAGTGCAATCTAGTAGAAATTTCTCCAGTGATGGCAGTGTTCTGTATCTGCTGTATCCGGTATGGTAGCCACTAGGCGCATGTGGGTATTGAACACTAGAAATGTAATTAGTGAGACTAAGAACTGAATTTATAACTTAATTCATTAAAACTAAAATTTAAATGACCATATGTAGCAGTGCTACTGTACTGGACAGCACCGTATTAGGGATTGTTGCATCCATGGATTAGGAATTGTCACACTCATTAACCATGGAAACCACAGGAATCCAAGGATGAGGAATTGCCTTAGAACTGAGGAAGTACAGATTCTTTTTGTACATTTAAGATGAAGTATTCATTTTTACCACATACCATGTCTTCTGTCATATTTCTGTTTGCATATAACATTGCAACAGAATAATGAAAGGTGATCACCTCGCTGGTCATTTTAGAATATGAGATTCTGCTTCCTGTGTCAAAAAACAACAAAAAATGGATGTTAGGAATGTTTTGTTGTTTAAAAAATTTACTTGTTTTTACACTTCCGTTAAAAAAACTTAAGGAAAATTTCAGACATACACAAAGTGAGCAGAATAGAATATTGAACTTATATGTATCCATTCTTTTTTTTTTTTTTTTTTTTTTTTTTTTTTATAAAATTATTTTTTTTTTTTTTTTTTTTGTAAAAAGAAACAGGGTCTTGGTCTGTTGCCCAGGCTGGAATGAAGTGGTGCTGTCATAACTCACTGCAGCCTCAAACTCCTGGGCAGAAGTGATCCTCTTTGCTCAGCCTGCCTAGTTAGGACTACAGGTGCATACCACCACACCTGGCTAATTTTAAACTTTTTAATTTTTAATTTTTTTTTGTAGAGATAGGGTCTTACTATGTTGCCCAGGCTGATCATGAACTGACCTCAAGTGATCCTCCTGCTGTGGCCTCCCAGAGTGCTGGGATTGAACCACTGCACTTGGCCCATTGTTTTTATTATTAAAGTTTTATTTTTTAGATAAAGTTTACATATATTGAAATGCACAAATCTTAACTGCACAGTTTTTTAATAAGTTAATAATTGAGATATAATTTGTATACTATAGTTATATGTACATAATTCACATGCATCCTTTGAAAGTGTACAGTTCAGGCCGGGTGCAGTGGCTCATGCCTGTAATCCCAGCACTTTGGGAGGCCGAGGTGGGTGAATCACAAGGTCAGGAGTTTGAAACCATCTTGGCTAACGTGGTGAAACCCTGTCTCTACTAAAAGTACAAAAATTAGCCGGGCGTGGCCTGTAGTTTCAGCTACTTGGGAGGCTGAGGCAGGAGAATTGCCTGAACCTGGGAGGCGAAGGTTGCAGTGAGCCGAGATCGTGCCATTGCACTCCAGCCTGAGCGACAGCAAGACTCTGTCTCAAAAAAAAAAAAAAAAAAAGAAAATGTACACTTCAGTGATTTACTCAGTGATATACTCACAGAGTTGTGCAACCATCACCATTACCTAATTTCAGAACATTTTTATCATCCCAAAAGGAAAATCTTTATCCATGAAAAGTCACTCCCTTTCACCCCTCCCCTATCCTCTGGTAATCACTAATCTACTTTCTTTGTCTATAGATTTGCCTGTTCTGGACATTTCATATGAATGGAGTATTACAATATGTAGCCTTTTATTTCTGGCTTCCTTCACTTAGTATAAATATATTAGTCCATTGTTGTACTGCTATGAAAAAATACTTGAGACTGGGTAATTTATAAAGAAAATAATTTTGATTGGCTTACAGTTCTGCAGGTTATACAGGAAGCATGGCTGAGGAGGCCTCAGGAAGCTTAAAATCGTGGTGGAAGGTGAAGGGGAAGCAGGCATGTCTTACATGGCCAGAGCAGGAGGATTAGAGATGGGGTGGTGCCACACACATTTAAACAACCAGAGAACTCAGTATCATGAGAACAGCAAGGGGGAAATCTGCCTGCATGATCCAATCACTTCCCACCAGGGCCCTCCTCCAGTGTTGGGGATGACAATTTGACAGGAGATTTGGATGGGCATGTAAAATACAAACTATATTGTTAATGTTTTCAAGGTACATCCATGTTGTAGCATTTATAGTCACTTCGTATCTTTTTATAACCAAATAATATTTCATTATATGAATATACTCCTTTTTGTTTATCTGCTCATCAGTTGATGGACATTTGGGTTGTTCCCACATTTTGGCTATTATAAGTAATGCTGTAGTGATTATTCACATATAGGGTTTAGGTGAACATGTTTTCATTTCTCTTGGGTACACATATCTAGGAGTGAAATTGCTGAGTCAAATGATAACTCAGATTAATGTTTTGAGGAACTGCCAAACTGTTTTCCAAAGAGACTGTGCCGTTCTACAGTCTCACCAGTGATTATCTGGTGAGTGATTATCTCACCAGTTTATCCACATCCTCACAGATACATGTTATTGTCCATCTTTTGATTATAACCATCCCAGGGTGTTTAAAAAATGGAGTCATCTTTTTATTCTTGAGTTGTAAGAGTTTC